GGTCGAGCCCCCTCTGCATCATGGGAGGTGACCACTGGCAAGAGGGGCTCATGGGTATGAGAGAGCCCAGGAATGGCCATGCCCGACTGATCCTGCTTCAAGTTCAGTTCCCTGATGGCCGAAGGTGCAGGCATGGCCGGGCTCCCACTGGTCCATGGCACTTGCTTGGCAAGCAGAGTGACCCCCACCTGGAGAAGCAGCCCACTCAGAGGCCGTTGAACCATGACTCCTTACCACCTGCCACCTGCCACCTGCCAGCCTCCACGTCCCACCTGTGCTCTTGACTTTAGGTTCAAGAGGGAAAAACATCAAATATGCATTCAATTTTCTTAAATAAAATGCACGAAAGAAAGAAAACCCAATCTTCAGTCTGCTCGAAGAGAATCGTCCTTACCTGAATACGACATTTCTTATAAGGAATCAAGTCTAATTCCATGATATAACTGCCATTAATTTCAGGGAGTCATCCATCATGCTTCTTTTTATGTATTACTGATTGGAGAAAGTACCCAGCAAGACCATAGAGATGAGTGTTGTCTTGGGTAGTTCAGAAGCTCTGTCTACTGAACAGCCTTCATACACCTTGGAAATGCCCTTCCAGGTTATCGGGTGACAACATCTGAGGTCTGAGAAGTTACAGTTAATGGTCTCCTCTGTGCCTCAGTTTCTCCATGTATATAGTGAGGATAATCATAGTCCCCTCTGTATGGTGTTTTTGGAAGGATCACGTGAACTAATATTTATGAAGTATTTGGGGCCTTATTTGGTAAGCTCTTAATGACTGTCAGCTACTGTTGTTTTCTTCTGAGCTCTAAGGATGTTCAGGCAGCTGTGCATCATTCAGGAGTGGGTTCTTCCCGAAGTCTTGCCTAGGAGATACATTAGAGGGGTCTCGTGGAGTCAAATGGACAAGGATTCACATCCTGGGTCACACACTGACCAGCACTCACATAACCTCTCCCAGCCTTTGCTTTCTCACCTCTTATATAATAGTAATAAGAGTATCTCGCTCATAAGGCTGCAGAGAGAATTAAATGATAGTGTCTACACAGAGCTTAGCACAGGTCTGGGCATCTAATAACGGCCTAATAAATGTTGTCATTAAGACTGTTGAGCACATTTATAGTTTTTATTAAAGAAAAAGCCAAAGATCCTGTGTTCTTTGCCTTATAGGACTATATCCTATCATAAGGCACAAAAGCACTGCTTGAGAAAGCCCTGTGACTGCGTCCTTCCTCTCACAGCTGTTACGCAAGCTCGCTGTGGCCCACAGAGATTCAAGGCCACTCCACGGTGCCTTTATACTTTTACAAATGCCATTGACACTATGGATAGTTCTTAAGACACATGCAGTCCTGACCCCTGAACACAAAGAATGATTTGTTATGGCGTCACTTTTCATTCACGAATTACTTCTCTCCTCCTCTTCCTCCTCCATCATCCTCTTCTCTTCCCAAGATTAATTCATTCCATCAACGAGGATTCCCTGAGCACTACTCTGGGCCTTCCTTGTGCAAGGCATTTGAGGGGCAGTGGCAGCCAAACTAAGGAGTTCGCTTCCACGTTCTATAAACAGTAGGTGTTTAATAAATGATGGACCCACTGCTCTTTTTTTTTAAGTTGTCCACACTTATTCTCCAAAAGGAAATAAAGAGAGACAGTGGGTTTGACAAAAATAAATCTAGTTAATGTATTTGTGCCTTCAGGGGGCTCGATATTGGGTAGATGGGAAAGAAGACAATGAAAGCTGTCGGGGGGGGGGGAATGGCAGGAAGGGGAGTCTGAAGCACCACTGATGGAAAGCCCGCTGTACATGTTTCATCTCAGTTAATCCCTGCAATGGTCCTGTGCAAAGGAGGTATTATGAATTACTCTCACTTTACCAACAGAAAAAGTGAGGCTCAGGAAGCTAATGTATCTCACTCAACTGGTTCAAGTCAGCTTTTGCGACTTTAAAGCCTGTGACAAGCTCTCGATCATTGTGTCCTATGTAAAGAGAAAATGGAGAGAAGACATCCCGGTTGCAGCTGACCTGGATGCTGACACTGGGACCTGCTGCTCCTACAGGTGTCACCTGTGAGCCAGGCTCCCTCCATCCTCCGTAGTTCAGTGTGTGCCCCCAGCCACGATGCCCTCTGACCGTCTCCAGGCCCACTCTCTGCGGCTCTCACCCTGTGTCTGAGCTCACTCCACCTCCCATTCTTGGCTGCCATGCTTCTGTAGCTGCCAGAGGAGCTGGCATTTGCAAGCGTGGTGAACTTCTCCACAGAAAGAGAGGAACAGCCAGGACGCTGGCAGTCTCTGGGTAGCACATCATTTATTAACTAATCCTACCACCATTAACACAGCGATCACAGCCAGCATTTGCTGCCCATACAGTCTGGGCTGTGCAATCCTCACAGCATCTTTGTGTATTGGGCAGATACTAGTATCATTCTCCTCTTATAAATAAAAAAATGGAGGCTCGGTCAGATCAATTAAACCGCACAATGAAAAGGAGCTCAGTCTCATTAGCACTCAGGAAAATGCAAATTAAAACTGCAATAAGATATCTTTTATGTGGATCAGATTGGCAAAATTAGTACCTTGGATAATGTCTAGTATTGATGAGAATGTGGAGCAACAGAAACCCATACACTCTGTTACTGAGGGAACAACTTACCACCTCAGACAATTTGCCAACATCTGAGTAAGGCGAGAATGTGCCCACCTTAGGACCCAGCAGTTCCGCTCCTCTCTGCTGAAGGCACGTGCCCCGGAGAGACTCTCTCGTGTACGCAAGGAAGCCTGTACAAGAAACGCCTGTGGCAGTGCTGTTTGTGACAGCGAGTAATGCCAACAACCTAAATGTCTATTAAACAAGAGAATGGATAAAC